ATATTCTTCCTCAAACGTTCACAGTGGTGGTGTGTGAGCTTAAAGGGCGTGGGTGTGCAGGGTGTACAAATACTGCTTTGCATAATCTCCTTTCCGTTTGTTGTCACAATTATCCTTCATTGTTAATAATAAAGATTTACTGGCAAATGGTATCTCAAAATCACTAGAGAGTAATATCATATCAACACTTCACAAATTCTTGTATTGTGTTATTAAGAACTAACAGAATTTAGCCGAGGATATCAAACAGGAGGCTAGCGTTTTTCGTTCTGAGTCGGACGTAATTATCTAAGATTTTCAGCTCCTAGTTCTACGTCCACAGGTTCGAACAATCACGGTGGATTCAATTGGTTGACTCCTCCTTACAGGCATAAAATAGCTACGCATTGTCTCTTCGGCAGTGAGAGGTTAGGTGTTGACATTCAATGAGGACACCGGTCACAGTGTGAAACATTTCGCTAAAATTCAATGCTCTATAAAAGCAACGTATTTCGTGGTGTTCAACTACGAATCACACAATAAACCATATCAAATTCAACTTTTCTATTTGAAAAAACTGACTTATCCACCAGTCATGCATTCCATAGTTTACGACAAACATTTATATTAGAAATGTAACACACACGGTACTTTGATTAGCTAAATGACCATAGACTCATTTGCGGTGTTTTTCTCACTGAAAGTAGTAAATAAACATGGAAGTTTCCGAAAACAATACTATATCCGTGGTCGCCTTTCAAAAGCAAAACACCAGAACAAACGTTCGTAATTTTGTTGGTCATTTGTTTCAACCATCTCACAATTCGCAGCTCACAAAATGTGCATTAAACAAAACACATCATTCTCTGAGAGATACAAAGAACATCAATTTTGATTTGAATAAGATTTACATGGTACGCTGATCAAAATGGTTCATTTTATCACGTGAGAACCAAGCATTCTTCAGTCAATTGGAATAAATGTAGGTGTTCTCATCATGAAACATGTGCTATTACACTGAACAGTCTCTATTTTTATATGGGAAAATGTCGATAAAAATAATGTTCAGCGAACTTATCACTCGCTGGGTGAACAAATCCAAACAAAAAGATGTTTGTGTTGTTTAATTGTTATCGTCCTGCTTTTGTCATCCGATTATAGATACCATTATCTGCTGTATTTCTGTGAGACACCTTTTAACATCATAACTGTGCAAATTAAATATTGCGCATGAATCCAGAAGGCAAAAGCTTTCCACTTGGTATAAGTATGAGAATAGAGTCGCGAATAAGGATGCAATAGAACGACCAGTTACAAATTTCACTATACCGAAAAAATGAGAATGATAAATCTTCAATAGAAAAATGGATTTTACCTATACGGTGAAAAACAGAATGAAACTTTGAGAAATTTGATATTTGAGTAAGTTCATTCGTTTTAATAGTAAATGTTATAGTAATACGTTAGAACCGATAGAAGACAAATACTGCGAGATGTTAAAGTTTCTTTTAATCTCTTCAATCGCTACAATGTAAAACAATCTGGTATGTATACAAGCAAGTTTTGACAACTGTAGTGGTAAAGCGGACAATAGTCATCCCAACCTCTACACTGCTTAGTGTAGAGGTTGGGATGGGAAATCAGATCGGATGTCTGAACACATTCCGAAGTGGTTGGAACAATCAATGACGCAACAAAGTCTTAGAGGTCAAACAGATAAGAGAAATCCAGGGTCATCAATTGCAAAACATATCATGGTAACTGGACACATCGTTGACCCACAAATGTTGTTCAAGCCGTTATTACCTAATATGAGCACCAGAATTTTGGCGTTTAGCGAAGCGATGCTAGCTAAGTTACGTAACCCAATCTTGTGCGCACAAAATTTTCCTACGCAATCAGTCACACTGCCATGGAACTGATTTCCCACCACACCCTCGGCCCCGCTTCCCTGACTATTGTCTGTTTTACCACTTGCTTGTATACATACCAGATTGTTTTACGTTGAAGCGATGGAAGAAATTGAAAGAAATACTAACATCTCGCAGCATTTGTCTTCTCTCGGTTCTAACGAATTGGATAAAGCGGACTCAATGACTCAAGTGATAGTAATAGTAATATCACGGCGGGGTCCTTGAAATTGGCAACAACAACAATTGACCCAACGTCACTTGATTTCCACCTTCCTGTGTCTGTCACAACAGAGCAAGTTTTGAAGGAGTTAAATGCTGTCAATGAAAATCAGTCTGCTGGTCCTAATGGGTTATCCCCAGTGATCCTTCAAACACGTACAAACCACCTCGCACAAATCGTTTCATTTATATTTAATGCATGTCTGTCAGAAGGAAGATTAGTTAACACATGGCGTGATGTGCACATCACTACAGTACCTAAGAAAGAAAAGGATAAGTTTAGGCCTATTGCCTAATCTTCAGTATTACTTAAGACTTTTGAACGTATTATTATTAAACACCTATCCTCTAATCTTGATTTTCGTGATTCCAATCACTTTGCCTATTGTAAGCGTTCCTCTGCTTTAGATGCGGTTGCTTGTCTTACACATTCCGTTTTATCCACTATAGATCAAAAACACAAAATTGTTTACGTTTGTTTCTTGGACTACACAAACGCGTTTAACTCTGTCGACAGAAACATTCTATTGCAACTGTTACGGCAATATAATCTACCGCCACATCGTTTGAATAGAATGCACGACTATACTACTGACCGAGGCCAATTCGCTTGTCTCAATGGTATCAGGTTTTCTACTGTTACTGTAAACCAGGGTGTAATAAGGGGAGCAATTTTATCCCCTTTTCTGTTCTCCTTTTATATCCAAAATTTGCCAGTCACCCCAAATGTTTCACTTTTAAATATGCGGATGATATAGTAGTTGGTGGTGCATCTCACAACAACAACCCCTCAACCAACCCACTTCAATCAGCCATAAGTTCCATTTCTGAATGGTCCAATGGTGTTAACCTTTCTTTAAACCCCAATAAATGCATTGAATTTTGTTTTCCATTGACCGTAGGCCATCAAATCTTTCTGGATCATCTGTTCCCAATATCTTGATCAATAACTTAAAAGTTGAAAGGTGAAAACGCTTCAAATATCTTTGATGTTTCGTGTCTGCTGACCTCAAATGGTCAGTCCAATAGATCCCCTCTGACATAATTGTATTCCTCCAACTAGACGGTCATGAATAGCGGATTAACGAAATACAGAAATTTCGAGAACTGTTCGATATCACTACAATATGGCGTAGTTATTTTCCTTCTTCCATATTACTTCGTTATTAAATGAATCAGATAATCAACTGTTTTTGCAGGAATCCAAGCATATAGTTTATTCGAAAACCCTTTTGAACATGAGTGGTGAGAAATAAGTGGCTACAAACATAAAAAGACTATGTCCAATCAAGAAACGAAGTCCGTGAATGACAAGTATACAACTCTGTCCGGTACTTTCTATCTGTGATTTTGATGGGTTAAATAGGACCCATGTGTCCCCAGTTTAATAACAAGTCGGACAGAGATGCAATATTGAAAACTGATTGACTATTTGTGTAAATACATCCGTCAACATGATATCATTTTAGCGGATCTCATGGCACGCCTCTATCCAATCACTTAGCTCAGCCGATTATCTGTCTATAATATACCTGTTTAAAAGATTCAGCGAATATGAACAAAAGTTAGGGAAATCTCCACTCACCCGATCACCCTGAGCGCCCTTGGGGCCGGGATAACCCTTTGGTCCAGGTCGTCCCTGTTTAACAAATACAGAGTTGGGAAGGGGTGTTTCAGACCGAGTTTTAAACTGTCATGTGCAAAAAAGCTGCTAGCAAGGTTGAGTATTTGTCAAAAACAGATTAGTGGGATTAGTAGACGCAACTTGCTCGAGTCTACCGGATCAGATCAAAATACAATGAGAGCAAAGTCAGCGTGAAGAAGGTGAATGGCTGAGCGGTGTTGAATGAAGACAAAACAGTTCATGGGGATGCGATTCAGAGGAAAGCAACCAAGTCTCAGAGTGCCCAAACCCAATGCAGTCATAATGACATATTTGTGCAATTGGTATGAGGAATATTTCATATACAGGCGTTATAACATACAAGGTATATTATGCCATGAAAAGTGAAATGCTTGAAGATAGTTTCCGTTTCCGTTTTTTACTTTCTCTTATTGAATATACAACGATAAAATTTTCGGGAAGGGGGAAGCGGCCACTGAAAGGGCTACCACACAACACATTTAATGGGAAACGTCCGGCAGTTGTCGTGAGATTTGAACTCACGTCTACCGGGGTGGTAATTTGGTGAGGTTACCACGGGGCAACCATGGCCCGATATCGTCAGATTGTAGCATTGACCCTGTTGATTTTAATTCAATCAGACCATCTGATCAATAACGTGTTACACCCAAAGTAAACCATGTAAGACCCGGCTATTAGTAGCACGAACAGATTTGATGCCAAGAAATTTACAGTCTTTTTGATTTATCAATTTTATTGTTTCACGTTTTGTTTATTTAAACGTTTGTTTATTTTTGTTCGTTCATTTATTACACATTCACCGTTGAATGAATTTCCAGGAATGTGACTGCGCTTGAACAAAGACTAATTCAGAGATTATAGAAAGGTGCAAGTTGAACCAATTCACTTGCCACTCCTAGTGTCTCACTATCATAACGAGATTTGAAGAATTATTTGATGCACTAAATTAGTTGGGGACAGAAGCTTCAAAAATGTTTCTCTTGAACTAGGTATTTTAATCAAAACTTCAAGGAGCTTATTAGTACTGCCTCACCAAACTAAATGGTATCATTACAGCACACTGGTTTAGTCAAAATAAACACTAAATGAAAAACACAGGGAGAATTCAATTGGTATACCGTGTTTTGAACGGTAAATGTAAATAAATGTAAATATCTTTTTAACAATTTCTTGTGACTGAGTAAGTCATATCATACAATCTTTATTACAGCACAAGTGCTCAGTATACATAACCACTTCGATGTTTAAAACAAATCGCATACCCGATCACCAGGTGGTCCGATCAAAGCTTTCCGATCTGGGTCAAGCATAGTGACTGTGCAGTTCTGTCCTGGGTCGCCAGGATCACCGGGCTCGCCACGCATTCCTTTCACGGGTGTCTGTGATTCAATGATCGATTCCCCGGGATCACCGGGTTCTCCCATAGGACCAGGTGTACCATCTTCACCCTGTAATTGCAAACACGTAACGGGTGAGTGAGAAATGCCATCAACTCCGGTGTTGACCAGAATCAGATCGTTTCGTTTCACTAACATGAATAGAATCATTTTCCAAAACAAAAGTAACTTCACTGGTGTTTTTTTCATTGCAAGATACAAGTTGGAAATGAGTAGAAATGAACTATTAGTCAACCACGGTATATCTATATGAAATTTTTTTCGTGTTTACGTCAAACAAAAAACTTGAAGTTCAAACAATCTGATTGTTGATCAGCGTCCGCTATAAACCGAGGATTGACTTCAAAAGCATAAAATAACCTGACTTAAAGGTTGGATGGCCAAACTGGTTAACCGTGCTTGAACACAATTGATCATAATTCAGTTTTTGGAAGCTTATCTCTCACCCTAATAGTAGCATCCAGGGTAATGAAGTGATTGGGAAATTTCGAAACTTCAATGTATGTCCGATTTTACTTATAACCTGGCGGGGCCTTTGAAATTGGCCGCGTCATTGGCCGCGTTATCGCTGCAGCTTTGGTTTTTTCATCACACACAACCTCTGGATATACTTTTGTATCAATTACGGTGACCTCAATGATAACCTACAACGCGCTCAGTTCAACTTCCGTACGAGTATCCGTGGTATATATCGACGAATCGTCCTTAAGTGCTTTTGCTCATTTTGTGAGAAATAATGTCAAAAAGATCACCGAAAATTCACACGGCAAACGGAAAAAACATTGTGCTGGCTGGAAAGTTACACATGAGCACCGAAACCTGAAGAGCATTGGTTTTCCGATCATTTTGCCGTCGATTCTTTCTAAGCTATCGGACACCGGTCTTCTGATTCACTACGGTGAGTACTCCAAAAGTTGTGTGCTACTTCTCCAAGAATCTTGGTTACAAAAATCCGTTGAGGACGAATTGATTCAGATCGAAGGGTTCTAATTATTTCGATCAGTCCAGACCTCCAGGAAGGAACACTAAAGGTGGCGGCGTCATCACTTATGTGCACCGGTCGTGGTGTAACTCTACCAAATGCATATTTACTCACTGCCCACAAAACATTTCTTGTACTTCTGTAGAATGCAAACCACGCTTTCTCCTGCATCACTCTTCGATCATCTTTTCAAACCTATACATCACTCCTGACTGTACTCCTAGTGAGTTTTCTACCTTCCTGGATGTATTCTAGTCAATCATGTTAGAGAAATCTGTCACATCTGTTTTCATCGATGCTGGCGATTTCAACAGATCTGATGTGATTTTTTACACGCTTATGTCCCTTCAGAATATTGTTATTTTTTCCACTCGAAATGATGCCTCCTTGGACCGCATTTTCGTTAACGAACCATCGTTTTTCCGTGCCTTCAAACGTGCACCAGTAGGCAATTCCGACCGAGACCAATTCGCTTGTCTCAATGGTATCAGGTTTTCTACTGTTACTGTAAACCAGGGTGTAATAAGGGGAGCAATTTTATCCCCTTTTCTGTTCTCCTTTTATATCCAAAATTTGCCAGTCACCCCAAATGTTTCACTTTTAAATATGCGGATGATATAGTAGTTGGTGGTGCATCTCACAACAACAACCCCTCAACCAACCCACTTCAATCAGCCATAAGTTCCATTTCTGAATGGTCCAATGGTGTTAACCTTTCTTTAAACCCCAATAAATGCATTGAATTTTGTTTTCCATTGACCGTAGGCCATCAAATCTTTCTGGATCATCTGTTCCCAATATCTTGATCAATAACTTAAAAGTTGAAAGGTGAAAACGCTTCAAATATCTTTGATGTTTCGTGTCTGCTGACCTCAAATGGTCCTACCCCGTAGAACAAACATTTCTTGAAATCAGAAAGTTGACCTTTGACATTTCACGCCTTCGGCATCTGAGGTTGCCATTGTACATCATCTCCAAATTTATTTTCTCATGCGTTTCATGCCATTGGACCTACTGCTCTCCCGTTATCTTTCCCGGTCTACTGTCTAAAGATTTCATATTTATTAGACGCTCTCTGAAAAGCATCTCTAGATATGGAGCTGTATCTTATGAGGAGCTGATTGATTCCATTGTCAACCAACACCTGAATGCGTGTGACCGTCTGTGTGACTCCATCTTGTCCGATGCGTCACATCCCTTACACACAGCTCTATCTAGCTCCATTTCAACTTCTGTAACCCGCAATAAATTTAAACCTTTGTATACCCGTACCACTGCTTTTCACAACTCCAATGTACCTGACCGTTCACGTTTGTTGGTTTCTAGGGAGCGAATACCAAACGAACTTATACACGGTCTCATGTAAATTTCCACGTTGACATTTTCCTTGTTTTATACGCATTCTCGGTGTCCGATTCATTATCATCTCAGTAACTGTTTGTCATATCTTAAAGCTCATTCTAAATAGCGTGCAATGCCAAAGCAAGAGCGATAACATTGTTTTCACCGAAAATTTTGTCCACATTGGATGAATAAAGTGCACTCTTGACTTGACTTGAATAGTAGATGCTTTGATTCGGTTAAGTTGTTAACCCCATCGGGTACAGAGTGAGGTGAACTTGAACTGAAAAGCTAGGACGCACTGGCAGCTATTTCGTTCTAAATGGATCTCATCAATAGCGTGAATACATTGACTCATCTGAGGATCGAAGCGGGATCTCACATACTGAACGCAGACATGCAACCCACTTACTTGAAGCACATGATACCGGATAAAGCACGATTTCCACCACCACCAACACGTTATTCATTTCTTTTGTTTGATTCCGATTAGCTTGCAGTAGAGAGTAGTTATTATCTTTTATGTTCCCAATCTAAATTCGTTCCAAAGCACCGTTTTGCGGATGTATGAACATTTTGCAAATCTGAACTTATCCTAACACATGCGTCTATTGAATTGGATGGTTTTCTTCCTCCAAGCATCCGTTACAGAATAACCTATCATATTTCTGCTCTCACTCATTCAACCCTACAGTATTTCAACACCTTTTCACTAGAACAAACCTGTACAAAATCTCTCTTGTACCTTACTTCACCCAAATCTTAAAGAGCCCAGATAAAAATAATTATTCACAAGACTGATCGATATCTGACATTGGTAGCCCTTTGTCTGTTTACATGTAACCGATTGATTTTATGTATATTAACGCTTTCCGTTTTAGCAGCATATCTGATTAAGATGTAATCAAATTACCTACGGACAGATAAGAAAATATAAAAATAATTTGTGAGACGAGTTCATTCAAACAGAGATCAGTTAAATTAGATTCAGAAGATGGACGGAATCGTTCAACAATCGATGCGTGACAAGCGGAATCGTATGTGAGCAGTAATGTCTTGGCATAGATGTACTCACGCGATCTCCTNNACCTCGAGGTCCCAGCGGTCCCATGTCACCCTGAATAAGTAAAAATGTACACAAAGAGGTTTCATAATAAGTAAAATGATCAATTCGATTGCAAACGATGTGTCGTCTTCGAGTGAGACAATGTGGTTAGAAATCAACTAATTTTGGTTAGCAAATCACGATTGAAGAAAATGTAGAAGACTAACCTTTGGACCAGGTATACCCGGGTCTCCTCGCGGTCCCTGAAAAGAGTAAAAGGTGATGGAATCAGGGGAAATATTTAAAACAGTTATTAAAATAAGTTCACACATATTCGTCGGTGAAACAGTAACATTAACAGTAAGTTGAAGAGATCAGTTTGAAACTTTGAGCGGCGGGGCTGGATTCAAACACCTAACCGACGGGAGAATCACACTTTCCCGAAGATGATCTATTTTTCTACTGCAATGTATTATCTTTTCTCTTTTTAGAGTGGCAGATGTTCCTGTATGTTAGCAATACTTTAAGTAGGAGTTTCCTTTCGATTGTCAGGTTATAACGATAACTGGCCAGTGAACCTAGTGAGCCATATAACTTAGACATCTACCCCAACGAATGTTATTACAAATAGTTTAGTACACAAACATGCATTTTACTCTTCTCCTATTCAACCAATTACAACGCGTCACTCTTTGGATTTAAGTAAAAGATGAGGGGATTGGATGATGATCAAGTATAAATGCCTGAACTTACCGGTGGTCCTCTTCGTCCTGGCCCAGAATCTCCAACATCACCACGTTCACCATCTTCACCAGGTGGACCTCGTTCACCGTCCACACCTCGATGCCCCGGATCACCTGCGTCACCAGGATCACCCTGAAGAAAAAATAAGGATATGAGATTTTATTTGACAGTGAAATTGAAATGACCAATGGTTAGTAACTCCTATATCTGTGTTTCCAGGTTAAAGGCTAAAAATTGAAAATTCAACAAAGTTTTGACTATCCCGTCGGAAATGTTGAAAATTCACATACCACGCGACCAATTTGTCCGGTAATTCTCTGTAAAAATAAGTACTAGGTCGAGAATGACTCTTCTCGAAGCGGAACTTTGCACACTCTTCGGAAACCGTTATGACTATCATCTTATCTGTTCTATTACTATAAATCCATCTATCATCAATTCAACCTGTAACGCATGATAGAAAACTGACACAACAACATAAGTGAGCTCTAGTGACTGCTTAATCCCTCGTAATCTACGCCTCAATTAAGTTGAGCCTTTTTCTTCGCTCCTCCTTGCGTGAACTCCATCAATTGAGCCTGGTGTCCTGTCCCATGCCTCATCGTCAACCCGTATCAAATGGCAGACCGTTTCGTTTATCTACGCGCACAAGTCTATTAACGCACGCTCAATCAAACAGACAATGGTCACTGGCTCCAATTTTAAAATCACTGATTTCACTAATCTTCACGCGCCATTTCAGTATTCCCTCGTCTTTGGTTGGTTGTTGAATTCATCACATGAGATTGATTTACCCTAATCACGTTTGGTGTCTTTGATTAACCCAATGGTTTCTGTAGTGTTTTGTTGAACTGAAGAGAAGCGTATTTTGACGCTCGTTGTTCTTCATCGTCGATCAGTTTTGGCGATTCCGCACTGACAATTCCGCATTTGAATGAAGTGCTAAAGAGTGACTGGGAGGGTTGAGCAGAGTTCAATTTATTCATAATTTTCATCTTTTATCTCACTTTTTTATTGAATATATAATGGTATCATTTTCGGAATTGGAAATTGGGCAGTCTAAGGACTGCCATACAACGTGGAGAAGCGGAGATGGGATTCTACCTGTGGGGATGGGGGAATTTGGTGACCTTTACCGCTTAACGATCTTAGATCTAGCAAACATTTTGAACCAAGCTAAATCGTAACGACAGCCTATTTTTCACAAATTTTCTCAATTTTCTTTTATGATCAACGAAACACGTGAACACTCCGAATAACAAAACATTTTGTGTCAGATGATAATACTTCGAATGAATAACTGAGTATTCGATGAAATACAGTCTTACTCCTGCTAGTGGTTGTTCGATCAAAGTTTTCACTTTCGTGTTGTTCGTTGGATAAGCAATAGATAGATTGTACTTACCTTATTACCCGGGCATCCTGGGATACCTTTGACACCTTTTTCTCCCGGTTCTCCGCTGCTACCCTGCAAAAGAAGATGATAAATTGCATTATGGATTAACCCATTCCATTGCGCATATCACAATTATTGCCTGGAGAGAGTACGGAGTTGCAATAACAAACACTGATCTTCAAGGTGTGGATCAATCGATATTACTAACACACCCATGATAACTTACTAATGTAACAGATTTCGATGGGAATCATTAAGAATTGACAATTTTTAATTATTTACAAATAAATTTGCAAAGTTTGAAGACTGCATGATCCTTGAATGGCGTATCAAAACAAATCATCTGTGGGTTTTATCATTGAATGCGGGTCATTTTTTATTTAACGAAAGTGCAACAATATGTTTCACTCACGTGTTCTCCATGATGTCCCGGGGGGCCAAAGTCTCCAGGTGCACCCTGAAAATCAGAAATGCGTAGAATGTTGTCCATTTAGAATTTATATGCGAAAAGAGAGATGAAAAAAGCATTTGATCCATGTATTGCAACGATGAAGTTTGTCGGAAATCAATTTCGGGACAGATCTTCAAATGGTTTTAAGCGAGCTCTTGGTATTGTCAAAACATAAAAGACCAAGATGGAGAAGTTGGTGATGAATTTGAAGGGCTTGGTAAATGAAATAGTCAGGCCGGAAAGGATAAATGAAAGCCGGGCGGCGGAAAAATGTTTTGTTCCTCTATGAGGTAACGCAGCCTGTAGAAATAAATGAAAAACTTCTCTGGATCATCAAATGCTATGCGTTGTACTCAAAGGGGAAGGAAATGTGGAATAAAAGGTTAGGAAGCAGGTAAAGTTATGCAACCTTATTAAGTCATATCAGTAGCGTGATCTCTACAATCCAAACAAGAGTCGAACCTGGGATCTGATAAGTAGAAGACAAACGTGTTGCCAATTTGACCAACGGGAAGCTTACCAAACTGTTTCAGGTTGCGCATAATTGATATGACAGTGCGCATCTGCGCAATCAGCTTGGCGGTAGCCTCAATGAGTTCTGACTTGGTTGAGAACATTTTATTCTACTTTGCACACTCGGGTCACACCAGGTTATCTCAGGTGGCACCGTTTTTTGGTTCATTCGAGGATAGTCCAACAAGATCGAGATTGATAAATTCAAAAGTATGGACTTACGCGGTCACCGACAGGTCCATCAGGCCCATCTGCACCGGGGTCACCCTTCTGTCCTTTAGGGCCTACCGGTCCGGGTTCACCTGGATAACCTTTCGGTCCAACAGGTCCGGGGAAACCTCTCGGGCCAGGATCACCCTGAAGCACAATAATGGGGTTAAAATAACCAGTTGATTTTGTTACTCACCAAATCATATCTGAGAGAAACCAAGCGATCCTACTTTCTACTGACAGTGAGTGAGTGGGCTGACGTGGTAAAAAACACAGTGGGGTCGGTCTTATGGGGCCTTTTGTCCAAATATTTGCTAGGGAATATCTCATCGTTAAGGAAGCGATCAGACCGGCTACGCTTTTTCATGTAATACATGATATAACAGAATCCTGCTTATTTCTGAATGTCACTTTGAATGTGTAACAACTTGATACAGTTATTTTCGAAATCTAAAGTGCAAATCTGACTACCATCAACCAAGCGATATTTGCGAGTGGAATCCGATCAAACGGCTGGTAATTAAAGATGCCTATAAATACATAGCTGAGCTAAATGCATTTCTGAAGATAATAGCGCAGCAAACAAAGGTTAGAATACTTCACAACTAGGAGCTTCAGGGGAAGAAGAGACTAACGAACAACCTTCAAGTTGTAAGAATGTGAACATCGGCGTAACTCATGAACTCCGTAAAGAAGATTCATTTAGGCTATGAATTATTTTTCTATTTTGATGGACAAGGGAAAACAGCCAAACGAACATGTCAGCAAGATAATATTCCGAACTCAAGTAGGTATGAAGAACTATGATATATTGAGAACAATGGACGAGTTAAGCTTTGTGTACCAGTAAAGGTGTAAGTACAAAAACAGTGCTGCTCATTTGGGAGGCAATAGAACTGTTAGCGCTTTTCTGACAGCATCGGAAAAGGACTTAAATCCTGGTGAATAAGTTCGGGCAAAACAAAGAAGAAACAAATAAGGGGAACGGCGAATCCGGACTCACCATCGGACCCATTGGGCCGTAACACACGCAAGTATTTTCATCACAGCGATCGGAACAGTTCAATTCTCGTCGAAATTGCTGTAAAATGTTTTGGGAAGATGCGGGTGAAAACAAAACAAAACAAAAAAGGTTAAAATTTCCGGAACCGTTTCACTCGATTGAAATATTTTCTTTAAAGTTTGGTGAAATTTACTTACCGCGCGTACAGTCGGAACGTTGAAGGAAGCAATACTGATTAACAAGGCGAACCTGCATGAGGGAAAAATTGAATCAGAATGGCGAGAACGTACGTGAACCATGTCCACCAGGGGACCGCTGTCCGAATGGACAACGACTTCCGCGGCTTCATCGGACAAACGGCAATATAAACACTAGCAAGAAGCAGGCTGTAATTTGACAAAAAGAAAAACCAAGGTGAATTGCTTCATTTGAGCAGTCGGAAATAAGACAGTTCGTGCGTGATTAGCCATGCAATGCCAACCATTCACATATACCAACGGAAAGCGTTCGTGACCTCAGCAGATATGCCAATAAGCCAAAAAGCCACTGTGTACTACGGAACAAATGCATCACCAAAAGGCGATTAAATGGGTTGTGCATTTATGTGAGCTAGTTATTCCGAGGAAAAGTTCAGCGTTCTTCTTTTAGGCTCACTGTTAAAATCAGCAGCAGCAAAAATGGATGGTGGTAAACTGAATCCCGTTTCACTCGTGAAACATTGAGATTGCTATATATTTTTCCATCCTTAGCACAAGTGTATACGCCTCTAGTCTGTGTTGACTCGGGGCCAGACAAAGCGGACTATGAGTGCTGCACGTCACCACTAGCCAATGAGAGGTGGCTCCAGCAGTCGACTGATTATCGATACAGCAGGATAGAAAGCCAATGTCACTGAGTACTATTGATTAGACGGAGGAAGACTGCTTGAAACATGTCTGCCTGGGATGGACATGTTTCAAGTGACTGAGCAGTGGCGAGTACGTTGTCGAATTTCTCTTCTTGTCATTTACTCACAGACTACTTAACTAACATACCGTTTGAAACAACTTAAGAACTATTCTCGCTGCTTGGAACTATCCCAAGAGGTTAACATCCTTCGAGCAATTGTGCTACATCATAGTTTACCATATCGCATTTTGTGATGTTCCATTCCTAAACATCAGTCTAAGAATCGGTTAGAGTGAACCATTCCGATTTGAAACATCGTGACATTCATCAGACAGGCATCATACAGATCAAATGTGACGCATGCAACAGGGAGAAATTCCATTAACACTTGAACGGTGAGTTTTATCTGTCTCATTTAAACATAAAAGGAAAGGAAGGGTGTGTGTGTTTGAATTGTCAAGGTGTGGATGCCAGAAAGAAAAATGGAATTCGGAGCGGATCGATTGGGTTGAGAGAGAGGGAGGGAGGAGGGACGAGGTGATCATTGTCATTGACAAGCTGATGTGTGATGCACTCATTTGTTCACATGTTTCAAACAGGCGCTTTTATTTATTTATTTACTTATTCGGAAGATAAAATCGAAGCAATCATTCGATCTGGTTTTATTCGGGGCTAGGAAGTGAGTTTGTGTGTGTGTGTGTGTGTGTGTGTGTGTCAAGGGGGTCGATGATGTGTTTATGACGGAATGGGAAGCAGAGCGTTTGGGAAAAAATCTACTTGAACAAATCTGTGCTGCGTACGCACACGCAGACAAGCTGCTCTGTTCTGTTGTTCTATCTCTCTTCATGTCACAGGGCATATTTGAAAGATCTCAAGCGGTAAATTGAATAAAATAAGCATTAGGGGGTTGATTGTGTAAACGAATAAAATGTAAAAGAAAAAACACCTAACAGAAATAGAAATACTTTTAATGTGTGGCGCTTTAGTTTTGTACTGTTTGGCGCTGATCAATATGATTTTCCTTATAGGAAAAGGCAAATATTGGTCTGAATTGTTCTCTGCTTGTATTCAGTTTTATATTCTCGAACGAACCATGTAGAGGGATGGGGTAGGGTGACGGAAACAGTGCCAAGACAAGAATGAATAAGTTTATATCTGTTTCGAATCCAGATGAAATCCACTGGGATGCAAACTGGCTCACGCGGGAACCTTCATACATACGCGGCATTTGCTAACATTGTTCAGTACCGGGCCTTCGGCAGCTTTCATGGTGAATCCTTGCGGTTTTTCAAATTGTGTTCGGCTGTGATCCAGCGCTCGTAAGTAGTAAACTTTTGCATCGGACCAATAGTGACACATGCCCACATTGTTGTTGCACTCAATCACCGGTGAGTATCGGAATTGTTCCATGCAGCTACCCGGTGAGGACAACTGTTGTCCACCGCCGTGTTTACCGGATGTGTGCTGTTTGGAATGGGAAGATGTAGTGAAAGATTGAAGAGACGTCAATAAATAGTTCCTTTGGATTTCAAAACGCTTTAAAATCGCATGTCAAAACTGCTTCCTTTTATTTCGTATTTTTATCGTACATTTTTGTAAGAGAAAAATGATTGAATGGATGACATTGTGACTATAAGAATCTTCTATGAAAACCGACCAATCAATTCCTGGAATTCGAGGTGGTGTATCACATAACGCCCCAATGGGATAGACGCCGTACTGAGTTGGGCGAAAGTGAAGCTACGGAGGCTGAGCTTGAACCACGAAACGCTAAAACCCAATGCACACCAAGGGGAGCATAATAAACCGCTCAACCACTAACACTCGTTTGATAACACCCAAAGCTTTAGGGAAAGTGCTACACGAACAGTTGATTTTGAGGTTTAGGCTACCAGCTGAGAAAGGAGATAGACAGTGGAGGGTAGTAAAACAAGGAAAATTGCAATGGACGATTTTTATTATATCAGTATCCTTATGCAGTAGAAACTCTTAGGCTATCTTTTCTGATCTCTCCTCTCATGGCTGCTATGGGCAAGCTCGAAACAAATGTCAGGCAATTGTCAAGAAAACCAGAGACCAATTGGTTCATCGAAGGGCTGACAAGCCACCCAACTACCCTTCGGCTTACCGTATTTCTTCACTCATGTTCGTGATCTGGTATCCAGACCCTCGAAAATGCAACAATATTTTCTCTTTTTTGCTTTCAGTTATACCGTATCTCTATCGCCCACTGTTCCCATGTCCACTACCCACTATGATTCCACATTCCCTTCTCCCCAAATTCCAACCAAAGGTTTTCGTCTAGCACTGCGTCCGTTAGATGTATCCTAGCCCACCGGTCCACATGGCATTCCACTACCACTAATACCGATTACAAACTTTCTGTGTATACATGCGAAATCCGCGAGTCGTGTCTTCCATGAATAATCCACCATTGCATTCCCCACAGTAGTAGTCTTTGTGATGAGGGTTCTTCCCATTTACTGTGCAGCATACTCGTCATGTCATGAAAAAGTATAACAATGATTGAAATATGTGTGCGTTTGCTGAGCTTTAATGACTAGAACTACTATCAAGAAAAGTTCCAGATGGTAAGATGTGACTACCTCGGATAACTCTGGCAGTGTTACCAAAGGGATTTCAGGGATATTCAAACTCAGAGCTGTATATAAAAAACAGTAGTTCAGGCACTTCACATTTCTTGGCTAAAATCGGACCCCATCAGAGATCCCAACAATAGAATTATGTCATGTTAGGAAAGATTTGAGAAACTATCACACGAAATCGGAAAATTGCATTTGGAAAAATAATTTAGACGTAGATCACTTCGAGTTCTAGTTGTGAGTGAGACGCCGTTGTTGGCTCCGCATCCGTTTAGTGCACCTCACTGGCCAGTTGATTGCTCACCTGCCCCCGCCGTAACGTTACCTGCCTTCTCACACTCTTTTGCTGTTATAATGACATAGTCCTCCTTATCGCACCCGCGGACGGATATCGATTCGGTGGTCCCGTGATACTGTGCGATTTGGGAGAGACAATTAAGCTGACCCCAAACCAATAAACAGAACTGATGATGCGCCGATGAAGGCCAGCTGCAGGTAAGATACAATTAAATTATCGTGGAAACTGGGACGTTCACGATAGCTCGGTTATCAAAGGTCACTACGATCAGGGCTGTGTGAAGTACTCGTTGTGTATTCCGAGAGATGCACTTGCATTCATGTAGGATGAGATTAGTCGCATCAAAAAGTGATTTAAGAGACACAAGTTTATTTTCCAATCTGGTCGCGGCTTCCAAGGTGACCTTTGGTGACTGGGATGAGCCTTTTTGTAAACGGCCTTGAGACCACAACCAGACGGAGATTTGTGCCTCCTCCATTCCCTTGCCTTTATTAATTGACCCATATTGTTCGGCCACACCACATTTTTCTGCAACACTAATGATAATGTAGTAATCTGACGGTGATAACACCGAAAATGCATGTTCCACGAAGCTCTGCGTTCTGATTACGACAATAGGCGTACGATGGGATTTTTCATTAAAAAAACGGTTGAAACGTAGGAATAACATCCTGTGCTGGTGAAATTTCCGCACTAAACTAAAGAGCACATCCATTGTGGAGAATAACGAGAATGAGGCGATCGTATTTTTAAATGTTGTGCTAAAACGTCGGTTTAACGGAACTTTGCATTGCACCATTCACAGAAAATCCTCGGGTCATTGGAAGGGAGGGCACCTAGATTACTACCACGCAACGCCCCGCCCCCCTTTCATTTGGTTCGTTTTTGCCTCAAAGGGGATTGGTAGTCAAACCTCGACCACAGTGAAAGCAATCGGTATCCACCTACTTGATCCCCCTGCACTCAGGAGCACAATACTTCGTACGCACATTCCGTCTTCCATCGTTATCGCTATACACTACAGTCGTTTCGCTCTTCGCTTTCAGAACCCGAACCATTCATTGATGATAGAACAACATTAAGTCTGGGGCTGAAAAAAACTCAGTCTGTAATTCATCCTTATCCCATACGTTCTGATAAAGTGTGCTGCATTGGCAAGTGGTTAAATCACCGAACTGGAACTTGTTGGCCACAACCAGAGACATGTAACTTGTCTCGCTCATGGCACCACTGTTCATCATCTGATTCAATTAGAGACAATAACGGATTTTACTGTTTTAATGACGAAAAGAATATTATTTGCCCTATGATATGATAACTCGTTATCTGATTGGGTTTTATTCCAAATNCAAATATCAAAGTTCTTTCTCTTTCTGTCTCTCTTTCCTTTAGTTGGTTCTGTGGCAACCCGAGAAATTCAAACTGAAATCGAACAACTCACCAAAATCAAACTGACTCCGGTCCACAATTCCTTCCACGTATTCGGACACGGTTCCATTGTCTCAGCCTGACTGTGAAAAGCGAACACGTGTGTGGGGGCCTCGCAGACCACACAACGAGCAATACGATCTGTCGTTTCATTCACCGGTAACGGTTTTTCCGATCGAGGCACGGCAGTGGCTAGCCAATAGGACCGTTCGTGGCGCATATTCGATTGGCACATTGTGTCTCGTTCACATTGAGTCAATGGAAGTGAGCTGAATTTGATCAAACATGAACTGGGAGTGCCTGAAAAGTGTAAATCGATAGAATGAGTGATTGAGTGGTATTCGAAAAATTTTATGGTGCGGAGAGACAAGAGTCTTTGTTGAATTGTTTTCCGATGGAATTCGCTGAAAAAATACAATTTATTGTGTCCTCATCTATAGTTTGGTAAGTTTGAGAAAACTGGATCAGGGGAAAACGGATGTTTTCGGTGTATCCCATTCATACCCGTACAAGTGATTTGATAGAAAACATCTTTATATGATGGTAATTGTTGGTGGGCTTTCTGGTCGTTTGTCACTGTCATTGAGCTTAGGTGCAGAGATAAATGCTGGTGTGGGAATTTTTGTGTGTGTACATATGTATGTATGCATGTATCTATGTGTGAGTGGTTCCGTGTGTGTGAATGAGTGATTGCTAGTCTGTTGACTTGACCTCTCCGTACTGGGGCCAAATGACATGTTCTGTCACGGGTTTCGCAATAGGTTAAGGTCAACAAAGCGCTGAAACCATTTTTTTGGTTGTGAAATCTTGCTCACTATTACTATATATATATATATACGCTGACAGAAGTGAGAATCGCATCTGGAATCTCTTTCATCGGATAAATGAATGTGCAGTGCGCATATTGAGCACCAACAGTGAAACGATTGGTTATTATATCTGCTTATCAACTTTCCGTTAAAAATGAGATTCCGTTTTGTATTCTTTCTAACGTTTTTGCATAAGCAGAGTAATCATAACCACCGGAATAGCGCCGTAAGTTCACACTTACCAAGATCCATGCTGACCAAATCGTCCACACCACCACCCATGACGTAACTGTAACCCGAAAACACTTTAGTTGTCCCATCAGGACAGACCAAATCAACATCCGGTGTCTGGTAGTGTCGCGCAAACAATACCGATGAGTAGTTAGTCTGTCCGGGCTCGCCTTTCATTCCTTCGGGTCCCCTTGGGCCAGGTTCTCCAACGGAACCTTTTGGTCCAACGTGACCTTGTTCACCTCTTTCTCCAGGCTCACCTTCATCTCCACGAGGTCCCTCTACCAAACCGGGCTGACCTTTTTCACCCTTTTCTCCGGAATCGCCCGATTCTCCCACCTCGCCATCCGTGCCTACCTCACCAATCTCACCTGGATCTCCACGGTCACCCTCGTCACCCAATTCACCTTTCTCTCCTTTTGTAGCGACACCAGCTTCACCCTTAGGACCTTCGACTCCAATTGGACCCGTCTCTCCAGGTACACCATCTGGACCTCGTTCACCTTCGGGACCCACATCTCCTTGTGATCCTGTCTGACCGTCGACGCCATCCTTACCATCCGGACCAGGTTTGCCTTCTTCACCCTTCTGACCTTTTGGACCATCAGGACCCTGTGGACCAACGGGTCCAGGTTCACCTGTATCTCCAACTTCTCCAGTAGGACCGCGTTCACCTGGCTCACCCACATCACCTTCAGCAGCTTCTTGTCCAGGCTTCCCGGGTGCGCCACGTTCTCCAGGTTCACCTGTGCAATAGAAACAGAAAAGCATGCAGGGGAATTTACAATGTTTGCCGAAAAACAATGCGAAAACGATAACCGACTACTTATTAATTTGCTTTACGCCCAATCTGCGCAAAATAAAAATTGAATGGCATTTGCATTCCAGAGTTCTTTTATTTACAAGAACAAAAATGTGAGCCAGTTATTAGGAAACTTATATATCATCCTCATCTGACCACTACCCACCTTCAGAATTGTTTTGTACTTAAATTTCAAGACAAACATGCCCATTTATTTTGTTTACAAGGTCATTTTCTCAAATGTTACATGGGAAATATGCCGTTGCCCTTATCATCTGATGACCTGGGCGGTGATGCATCTCACTCTTCGAACTTCATGACGATCGTGCGTTGGTAAGATTCAGATTTACCGCCCTCAACCGTGTACTGCATTGAAAAAAAGCGGTATGTTCCAATTCATTTATGTAACTTGAGTCCAGCGTGTGGGAATGGAAGCAGTTCGATGAAATTCGTTAAAACCGACTCATACCCTTGTTCAGGAGGTAATTGGCGTTTTTCACCTATGGGATATCGGAAATAGAACTGAGTAATCGGCATGTGACAACCCTTGCTTTTGAATACACCACATGTGAATTTGTTCAATAAAACACACTCACCTGACATGCTTGTAATGTTGATGGTTCAGTGAAGTTTCATGTACACTTATGACAGGACCTAATCAATCGGATGTTGTTATTTACGATGTAGAATACAAATTGGACTCGTTGATCGATAAAACGGGGCTGTTGAATCAAACTTGCAGCACAAGAATGTAATAAACATGAAATCGGAAGACTGGGGAGAGAAAAAACATGCCAAAAAGTTATGTGAAAGGCAGGTAAAAGTGCGTTAGTTTGGTAGGTACAGTTGCTTTCTTCGGTCATTGAATTCAGCCCCCAAGTAAAGGCTGAATTTGGAATTCCATCTACGTTTGCCGGGATATGAAGGAAGCATTTGAACCTATTATACTGGGACAGAAGTTTAAGTACTGCAATATCAATGGAACGTATTCTCAAAATGATTCAGTGATCTAATGCATGTGCTTTTAAAACCGGATATTAAGCTAATATCATACGAGTTGCCGTAGTGCTATGTAATTAGTGAAACCGTTTGAGTCTTGTATACAATAAATTCCGGGTCTCGCTCACAGTGTAAGTTATTCACAAAGAAAACAGCAGCAACAAAGACAGTGATCCCAACTGCCGTAGACAACTTACCTTGTAATCCCGGCAATCCAGGCAGGCCATCTTCTCCCGGTTCTCCCCATGAACCGATTCCAACAGGACCTGGTTCTCCCTTGTTTCCTATTCGTCCGCTTTCACCTATACAAATGACAGAGAGAGAGAATGTAAGTAATTTGATGGTGTATTCAATTTTATTTATTTAGGCCAGGTGTGATGTTCACATTTTCAATGTTTTTCGGGAAAAGAGAGAGGAATCATCTCCAGTCGTTTGTCTTTCATTGAGTCCACACCTGCTTATCGAGACAGTCTAAATGTTACGGCAGTAATCGGCGGTTTTATATGGTTACTTACATATGGTCAACCGATCAGATAAAACTGAGCAGATGCGCAAAACAGTACTGGACCATCTGGGTGTGTTCTTTTTGCCTTAAATTATAGTTCACAGTCAGAGGGAACGGGTAAAACATACTGAGGGCAATTTGGGTGTACCGTACTGTTTGTTGGGACGAAAGCTCCATAGTTATAATCAGTCGGGGACATATATTCTTCTTCAACACAGTTCTGTGGTTCGACTGAACGAGTAGGGAGGTACATATATGGTTCATTTTGTCTTCACATTTGGTAATCAATTCACAAATGGGTATAGTTAGTGTGTGAGAGTTTAACCTTTTGCTACAAAAGAAAATTTATCTTTGAATTTTCTTCTAAAATATGCATATAAACACTGGCAACTGACCGTGCTACAGGAAATTTGCGTTAGCTAGGTCCTTTTTTGTGTCCATGGAACGGATTTCGAATGATACAATATTCCCTTCATTAGTTTACAGAATTATTTAGGAAAATTTAGGAGTCAGTTCTAAGCAGTTTTATATTATCAATACGAAACAAAAAGTCAGATGTAGCTACTATCAAACACTAGCATAAAGGAAATACGTGACAATCTTTAAACGTCACGACGAGGGATCATACACTGAGTACAGATTAATTCATTTACCTTTTAGACCTGGTTCACCTGGTGTCCCAGGCTCTCCAGCAATTCCGATCGAGCCCGGTTTACCGGGACTTCCAGGAGGACAATCAGCAGCGATTGGACCAGGGTCGCCTTTTTCACCAACTACTCCCTTCAGTCCACGTTCACCGTAGTCACCCGGAGGACCTTGTATACCTTCCTCACCCGGTTCTCCCACGGGACCTGTATGTGTACAGAGAGAAGAACAACAGTTGGTTGCGATCAACTAGTATTTCTGTATTTCATTTATTGTTTCCGATAGCTGAGAGGTCAAGACACCAAACAGGTTTCCTTATCTACTCTGTGGATTTAAATTACTATGGGATTTTTTCGAAAGAGGGTTCATAGTGTTCCTATATAGTCAATGAATAAAACTAAGTGGTAAGTCTTATTTTTTAATAGTCATTACATCAACCAGAGGTACACGAGGCCGATTTCTAGTCGATTATATACCCTGTAGTATTCAACTAGTAGCTCTCTGTGTTGCGGCCCCTGCAGTTGGCATACTACTTAATCCTCAACTCAGTGTGATTCAGAGAAACAAAATAAAAATCAAGTTTAGCATGATTTTCCTTCAAACGAGT